CCATTGTTTAATTAACACGGTAAAGTTCATTATTTTCGTGTTAAATGTTAGTAGCATGTATGTTTTATTCACCAGAGTTTGAGAGCAGGCCCTAAAACTCAGCACTAAATTGGATATAGTCATACTACAGCTCCTTTTTTCGTACTATAGCTACTTTTGCGAAATAAACAGTGTTTTGAATTTTGTGAAAGATTAGTATTTTGAAACCATGAATCATTCGTAATTATCGCGTCTAAAGGCAAAATTAAGGGTTTCTTAAAGAAGGACTTCACATCATCGCGTGCACATTCCCGCGGGCCACTTCGCACTTTTTGAAACATATTATTACAGGGGAGAAGAAGTTCAATTGTTGAGAATTTGACCCCGAGCCAACGGCAGAGGGTGATACTTTGGTCTGTGGTTATTCATTTTAAATCTCAGCATACCGAGAGAGAGAGAGAGAGAGAGAGAGAGAGAGAGAGAGAGAGGCAATGTCTGATAAAATATAATATTAAGGTGCTCACTTCTACTATGGCTTGTTTCGTATCGGGCATGTCGTTGATAACGCCATCTGTTAAAATGAGTAAAATGAAGTAGTCCTTGCCGTCTTTTCGTTTTTGAGCTTGTCTGGAAAGGAACAAAATAGATAATTTCCCATGTACCTTTAGGGTACAACTGTACAGTGGATTCCATATCCTTGTATCTAAGTACATGTACAATGAAATGGTGTTGGGTAATCTAAATTTTCTGACAAACGGACAGAATGTAAATTTACATGGCTCAGAGTTCTCAATTCGAAGTAAATGAAAAAATCACGCCATCATAGTCTTCATAGACGACCACTAAATCACATATAATCATGATATTGTGCCAAATGCAGATAAAGAGTTTATTTAACCGGCTGCATAATTAAAATCAAAGGGTTTCGAAAAGATATAACTATTAGAATCACCTTGCTATGGAGTCGATGGATGGTGCAAAACACGTAGGTCCGTGGAGCTGGACCCTTGACAGGGCGTCATAATATGCCTGAATGACACCGTCGATTCCTTCACATTCCTCACCTTTACCGTTCTACAATGGCAAGCCATAAAAAATTGTAAGACTGTAAAAATCGATACTGTTTTAACTGAGAAAAATATATGTTACAGTAAAAGTTTATCCTGGAACAAATTAAAAATCATAAGACTGTATAAATTGACGTAGTAATACAAACAGCTCACAGTGATTCATTCAACTTAGGATTCACATCCTAGAGACCATTCCCAGAGCCTATCGTACTAGCTTTGGATCGATCTATCTCGAAGAGGATTCTCGTTAAAGTGCTATCATGTTAAGCGGCTTAGATGTCTCGCACGCCCACTGAAGGTGTTACAGGGTAATTAACTATCGTTTACTGCTTCAGTAGGCGTGCCAGACATCTAAGGTGCTTAAGCTGAAAGCAATTTCGCGAGAAACCCCTCGGGGATGGATCGATCCTGTTAGATCGATCTAGTTATGGGAACCCAGGCCTAGATTCAACACGTGCATACGACGCGCACTTATCTAGATGAGCAAAGTTTGCTTACCAAGGAGAACTGGTGAGATATGTTAAAATCCGGAGGGACGTTAGCACCAAATCCAACCGCTGGAAACAATTTGTCACTGAAAAGAGAAATTTTCGGTACTAAATAATAAAAGAAAACAATAATGGTGCCCACGTCTGAACACCCTGTACGTATACTACAAATAAGGGGAGTATCCAGGATTATATTCGTTGCGTGGGGTTCGGGGCCCGCTGAAGGGTATTCTATATAAGAGGTGGAACGGTACGCCATTTTACAACTGTGAGTCAGCTAGTCAAAATTCTAATTTCAGGAGGGAATCCCATTGGTGTAATTTTTTCAGAAATGGAATGGGGGGGGGGGGGGGAAGGGGGTCAGAACCCCCCCTGATACCCCTCTAAATGCGCCACTGCAAAATTTTAAAGAAATATATCAGTGTTGATTTACTTCAAATGTAATGTAAGTAATTGATAACCATTGATAAGTAAGGATCGGCGGAGTGTTCTATAAAGTTGATTGACATGTCCTCATAATGCACGAGGCATGTAAGCCTAATGTAAACGGAGAGAACACCGTAATTGAATGGTGTAGAGATAGAGATAAAGAGAGAGAGGAATGGAAGGAAAGAAACTGGGGAGCAGCAAATAAAGAGTATGAAAAAACATTAAAAATTCTACCTCGCGTTACAACTAATGCTAAAGTCAGAATCTTCGTCACACGAAGTAGTCGTCGAAAGTCGGTGGAGTGTAGTGCCATCTTTTAACGAAATAAGGACAACAGTGTCATAAACTGAGGATATACCTGTCGTAATCTTGGATGACGTCTCCAACAGCGCGAATGGCGCTGGCGTAAAGGTTTGGACTCTCTGTGCTGTTATAGTGAAGAGATGACGGGTCGGAAGGATCCCCGTTAGAAGAAGTGAAGTCAATCGCGAATGCTACATGGATCTGTGTTCTGGAAAATGGAATGTTGGTGGATTATGTCCAAGGCCAAAATTAAAAAAATGAATGACGTTAAATAACTTATATTCAGACGCTAAACATTAACAGTGGATTAAGTCTTCAAAAATTGAATATGCGAGATACGATATAAAAGATAAAATCTAAGCTGATAATATTGGCTTTCAACTTTGCTGTATATAAATATTTCAAATGATCTCTTCTACATGTACTGGGGTCACAGTTTTTTTAAGGATCTAGTCAGTCTGATAGTGATACCCACCCGCCTTGGATGTAGTCAAGGAAGGTGTCCATGGTTTGGATTTTGGCATCGAGGCACTTGACCTGAAACGAGGATATTTTTTGTAATGATGGAAATCTTTTAATCACGACTAAGCACATGGATCACAGTTACAACTTTTATAAATTCCATGGCAGTTGTCGACTCCAACCCATTTCAAGTTTTTATTGAATTTAACTGACTATGATAGATGATAAAACGAAGCATTAAAGAAGGATCCGGGCAGCACGTCAACAACGATTTACTGCAGGGGTGGATCCAGAGATGTTTTCTGACAGGCTTCCGTCATCCGACAGAGAAAATTAGATATCCGCCAATGTAAACTTGAAAATTTGGCCATCTTTCGGAAGACCCAGAAGACGGCCTATATCCGCCCTTTTACTGGAAGGTAACTGGCCTGTCATGTTACACTAAGATTAAGATTCAATTAGCCAATAAATACGGTACATAAAATAAACATAACCAAAATAAATTGCTGTGTAAAAGCGTCACTGTGTTAAAAGTTTAAAAGTAGCAAGATAAGATTTTTTTAATTAAAAATACAGTCGAAGGATAACTAAACACAAGAAATAGGTAACATCATTATGGTATACTCTTCCTATAAATGGCCCTACCCTGAGTATCAGAGGTTGAGGATATATAGGTAACCAGTACCAAGAATACTCTATGTCACCCTGAGGTTCAAAGTTTTGATGGTGACTCCCTTTTATACGCTGCCTGCTACCTGTACCTTGTCGATGCGAAGGCAATTTGAAACGCAGTAGAGCACATTCAGAACAGGGGACTAACATATCTGCGGATCAAATATGGTTGACCCACTTGAATGCTTGCTGTGTAATCCCCGCAGGGGATCTATTCAGTGTCTAATCGGGAATTAAGCGGCAAGCTTTTTAGTGGGTCGCCATATTTGATCCATGGATCTGTTAGTCCGCTGTTCTGAATGCTCTCATACAATTCAACTGTACCGGGCATAGGGATGAATAGGACTTGACTCCGAATCTCGGGGTGTATTGAAAATCCTTGTTAAAACTTACCACTCCTGAATTTTTGTATTTCGACCCTCGTTTATCTTTTTTCTTGTGATTTATAACCTGGAATTCGAAGTGAAATAAGAGAATTACACTGATTTAGATCTTGGTGTATTTTCTTTCAAAATTGAGTTGGTTTGTTTTTGTTCTCTTATCACAAAAGTTGATATCAAATGAACTGCTCTCAAATGACTTCGAACGAAAATAAGTTGAAGAAGCGCAATACAGTATATCCACTATGTGGAAAACCACAGAGCCAAAGCTCTTGTTTTTTAAGATACAAAACAAGGTAGCATACGTAAGTCGTTCATATGGTAATTGTAGGCCTACATGTGTATGATATTTATTTCTGCATTCATCATCAAGCTTAGAGAACTAAATTTTTTTTACGTTCAGATTTATGTTTTTTTGACATTAAAACAAATGAATAAGAAATATTGGAGTAGTGAAAGCCGTTTGATGAAACTATTAGCATAACTCTGAAATGAAAACCGCTGCTTTGTCCAAAGTCAGAAAAGTTAAAATTGAGCTGGTTTTTGGCTAACCTCATATTCATTTTGTGGACCCCGTCCTCTTGATAACGCTCTCAGAGTTGTTGTAAACTCTCCAATCAGATCATGACTGCAATAGAAAAAGTTCACAATTACATACATAACGTATACAACACATACATATACCTGTGCTTTGTAGCATAGTTTATGCATATAAATATAGATATAAATTTTAAAGGCCTTTGATCTTATTTTTTACAAATTTTATAGTAATTGCATTTTTGCACTGTAAGAAATAAGGCTGTTCTACCTATAATCTTTTCTGTGTGCAAATAAGGCTGTTTTTTTATTTAGAATTTTTTTTTATTTTAACAAATTTTAGTTATTGACTGTAAATGCTTTTATGTGAGAATTCGCTTGTTTTATCTAGAATACTCTCAACTTTTTTTGTCGTTAACACTAAGCTCTGTAATTTTTGACTTATCTATTCCTAATAATTGATTTCTTAAGTAATTGTTTTATGATAAGTATAAAGTCTTCTGAACATGTTATAATGGATTTAAGACTCAAAATAAATTTATTATTGGTTTTATTATTATATTATCTTTAAACAAGGACCGAGTAGTGCATCCTTGTCTGTCAAAGCGTGCCATCCAGGACATATCCAAATGTGGGATAAAATCTGTTTTTTGTTTAATATGATTGATACAAAAAAAAAAAAAAAAAAAAGAAAAAAAAGAAAAGAAAACAGCAGACGGTGTATATAAAGGGGATGGGGGGGGGATTTCCGAGTGGGGTTCGGCCCCCCCAAAATTTGGTATTTAAGAAGGCGAACGGTGCCATTTGGTACGGTGTACAACTATGAATCAGCTAGTCAAAATTCTAATTTCTAGAAAGGACCATTGGTGTGATTTTTTCATAAATCGAAGGAAGGGGCGGGGAGGGGGGGGGGTTAGGATCCTCCTGACACCCCCTAAATTCGCCACTGCCGTGGCGATATATGCTTTATTCGGTATTTGGCGGGGTGTATTGAGTAATTTCTTTCTGTACATACGTTAAACAATACATTGCCTTCCTCTCGCAATACATGCCTTTCACACCAAGAAGGTCGGGGTGTTCTGGCATACGTGTATATCCCTTGGATTGACACTGTGTTCTCTTATACGTAATTGTACAACGCTTGTACTTTTATTATAAATGTTAACTAATGTTTACGTCCTGTTACATGGACTACTTACCCTCCATCAAAGTCGTGGTCCCAGCATTCAATTCGTAATTTTCTGAAAGAATTAAAGCCCAGTTGACAGTCAACACATTTTGAATTCCAAATTCGAATTATAATCTTGAAGGTTTCAGTTTTTACAAAGCATTAGAATTCCGTGAACGACCAATGCTGCAGACAATTCCAGTCGACCAACGTTTCTCTTTTGTCAAGATGATAATAAATAAATAAATAAATAAATAAATAAATAAATAAATAAAAATACAGCAAGCCTGAGCTCAGTCAATTTACTTGCATATTTTGACCTGTGTTGTAAGAATTGTCAAGAAAGAATATAATAAAAGTTATAAAAATAAAATTACATAAATAAAAATAAGAAATAAATAAGCGAATAGATAAAAATATATATTTATTTATTATCTTCGCCTTTAATTTACCTGTCATAATCTCCATTACAGAGAGCTCGAACTTGAAGAACAAACGGCGCCCAGTCCGGATTCAATGTCTTTTTGATATATTCGGTGGTATGGACAAGTGTATACTTTCTGCAAATGGGAAAAATACCGCAATCTTTGCACTGGCTTGGGGTAAAATGAGTCAAATGAAACGTTTTGAGAGGACATTATCATGTAAATTTAGACGAATATAACGTTTGATATTAATTAATTTATATTCGGTTAACATAACTTTTAGATAGAATATTCAACTGAAAGAGGTTTTGGGTAATGTGAGAGTAATGTAAACATTGTTATGCTATCTTGCATGCACAAGTAAGGTATTGTTTAATTAGTTCTTTTATTTTTCATATAAAAACTGGAAATCTTATATTAGTGACAAGATGAAATAAATCTAGTTTTTCTTTTACCCTTCTTCTTCCTGGTTTTCTTTATATATTTTCAGGAAGGGGTCCGACTTGCCCAGAAAGTCCTTTTTGTCGAGGTTTTCGGCTTGGAAATGTAACTCAACTTCTTCTTTACAACTTGACATCTGCTCGGTTACAACTGAAATGAAAGAGATTAATCGAGCTTGATCAGGAATGATTCCTGATATTTTAATTAAAAAAGATAGTATGCTCGTAATGATCTCTATTAATCCAGAGAAATAAAAATGATACTTCTAACGACGAATCTTAAAGAAAGATGAAGAGATAGAAGTCAGGAAATGTCGCTGAAAAAAGAAAACTGTTATTCTATCATTTTTATCTATTATTAAAAGGCATAATATACAGCACAAGATGTTTTCGCGCCGTTCACTTACAGATGATAGTCCCGCTATTCTTCTTGGGTCCACTAGGAATATAGAAAGATGGTATTTTCAAACATTTGGACTGTATTGTGTAGGGGATATCATCTTATTAGATAGATGAAAGTATTTTGAATACGCTACGACTCATTTACAATACACTGTAGATAATCATGATTTTTCTGTGAAATTTTTAGACCTCGGAAAAGATAATCTTAATTCTTTCTCTCAATTAACAACTTTCGTCGTCAGAAATATAGGTTTTTGTTTATTGGTTTATCAGTAAATCAAGCTTAGTACTATTAAAAGCAATGTATAAAATCGGGATGGAGTGTTTTTGACGTATAAAAATACTTTTTATGAATAAATTAGAGGCAAAGTAATTTTAAAGAAAAATTAGGAAAAAGTTTTGGTATTTGTATGGAAGTTTTTTTTATGCTATATCAAGGTCTCACGAAGATCTGTGCCTTTAAGAGACTGCAACACGAACAAAACATTGTGGTATGGAAATACATGTCTCTAAAAATCCTTTACACTGGACGGCGTCCTTTCTGCGTCCTTTGTGCGACCATGAAACTGGCATCGCTGTGGTCGTAAAAAGGAGGCACAAGCATCGCTTTGGTTGCAGACTGAATGCTCCATGATCGGCCAGATGTCAGTAAGTAAAGTATTATTTTTTTCACTCTCAAACGGGACCGTACTATACGGAAAGGACGCCATCCAGTGTAAAGGGGGCTTAACTTACTGTATCGGTTTCTCACACACGCCTGACGTGACCAGTGTACTCAGTGCAGTTTCACAAGAGCCGAGAAAATCCTGCAGAATACCAATATGTGATATTCAGGATATTGTTGTAAAGTAAATGTCTTACAACTTCACTTACAGCAAGTACTAAATAAATTATAAACAAATAAGTAAAAGGATAATGAGTTCTTGAGTGCAAGTATTTAAAGCGATCAGTCGACCTTGAAGTCGAGATGGGAATAACTTCACACGCCCACAGGATAAGAAGCAGGGTAATAGGATATAATTTTCAAATTTTTTCACAATGACACAATTGCTTTTAGAATTGTTTGAAACAGGATGTAAAAACGCGATTATATTTTCACGATTTTCCCCAGATCTATTTTGAGAACGAGCTGCGGTACTGGTAGATTGGAGAGAATAAAGAAGTTTCACTAGATAGTAGTGCAAGTAATTGACAACGTCGTGAAAATTAAGAAGCATCAAAAATCCTTGAGAAGATGACAATATTATAAAATTATTGTAAATATCTATAAATAAAGGAATCCACGTGAGAATTATTTTATAAAACAATTAAAGGATAATATTTCAACCAATTTTTATATATGCCATTTTGTACAGTATGACACTTACCTGTTTTGAAAGGTCTGCAGATTTGCTGTCTTGGTCGTACCTAAAATATGAAAATAAATATGTAAGAAAACCAATTTAAAGTTATCTGGTTGACATCAACACGGTTTGTTACAGATTTTGTATCATTATGGTTTTTGGAAGATAAATAGCTTTCAAAGTGCAAGAATTTAAACCACCTATGGCAGATTGACTATTGTAAAAGGCTGTGTGGCTTTATACCCCCTCCCCTCCCCGACCCCGATGCAATAGCTCTTTACGAAAAACTAATGACATTGAGAACGCTTTGCGCTGCTAGTACTTTTATGCAGCCCAAGATTTTATGCACACACACACACACACACACACACACACACACACACAGAGAGAGAGAGAGAGAGAGAGAGAGAGAGAGAGAGAGAGAAAGAAAGAGAGAGAGAGAGAGAAAGAAAGTCTGTGTGTCTCTGTGTGAAGGAGGGCATCTCCCAACTATGGGTGCCTTTGGCAATGCATACGAGTAAGTTATCTGGCTTATACTTCAACTGTTCGTAAGAAATACAGGCAACTGCAATTGGGTATAATTAGAAAGATATTTTCTCCAGTTTTAAATGGACCGATATATATTCATAGCGGCAATAATGCACTGGTACAGATTTAAGATCGCTATGGTGCCTATGTTATATGGTTTATACATGACAGGCTGAGTCGCTAAGACAGACTCTTGCAACGAAAACTCACAGTTCAAATCTTAAATGCTGCTTTTGTTCGAAGTAATAATCAATGGTGAATTTTTTGGCAAAGTCTGGATTTAAGCAGTTCTGGACCACTTCCGTTCTTCCACATGGCGCCTGAAAGAGCAAAAGGACTTGTAATCATAGTGAAAATATATAATTTTTTAAAAGTTTGAGAATGAGTGTTAACTAGGACTGGGTTCCCATATCTAGTTCGATCTAACAGAATCGATCCATCTCCGAGAAGTTTCTCGCTGAATTGCTTTCAGCTCAAACGGCTTAGATGTCTGTCACGCCTACTGAAGCGATAGTTAATTAACCCCTAACAGCTTCAGTAGGCGTGCCAGACATCTAAGCCGCTTAAGTTGATTGCAATTTGGCGAGAATCCCCTTGGAGATAGATCGACCCACAGTTAGTACGATAGGGTCTGGGGATGGTCCCTAGGATAGGGTCCTAGGTGTTAATTATCTGGCAAACAAAATTGACGCAAGTAAATAATGCTACAATATCCATAGCTGCAGCTCATAACAATTAATATATTTGATTATTTTCTCACATATCTAATTTTTATTCTCAGTTTTCTACGATTACTTTTGACTTTTGAATATTTCTCGATGTAGAAATTGTGGAACGCTTCCGTTAAGATCAAAACACTGATGTGTGGATGTCATCTCAATCGACAGAACACATTACAGTACAGTCAACAGGATCTATATAAACGGATATATTTAACAGATAAAAATGATAGTAAAAATGATCCCTCTTATTTTACTTTTAAGTTCTTGTAAGAATGGTTTTTACGAACAATTGTTCTAAGTTTATAGTTCTAATTTTCACCTCTTATCCATTTTATATATCTATTTTTACCTTTAACATTTTTTCTATTATTGTTATTTTCCTTCTGTGCATCTTATGACCATTAGTAGTTTTTCTTTTAATTGTGACTTTTTTAATTTGTCTATTGAACATACGTTGGATTTTAGACTATAATAATAATAACAATAATAATAATAATAATAATAACCTCTCTCCACTCTGCGGCACCCAGTTCTTTTATTCGAAGAACACAAACTGGAAAAGAATGAAGCTAGTCTTGTTAAGATGGGACGTTTATATAAGTATATCAGTTTAATACTGTTTTATTAAATCAGTATTTTGGTATTTGTATGTAGACCCTGGTTTTATATAAAAAGAGGGGTAAGACATCTTTAAGACATCTTTAAGATATCATATTAAAGATGTCTTAAATATGTCTTACCCCTATTATTAGTTGCATACTGTTTGAAATACTGAATAAATTTATCACAGAAATATTGTAAAGAAATATGTTTATTACGTGTCACAGTCTATTCGAGTAGTAGTATTTCGGAAGTTTTTCATGCAATTAATTATACAGTAACACAAATACTACGTACAGTCTCAGATGCAGTTTTGAATAACGACCCCCTTACTATACTACCTGTAGATGTATTAATTCAATTCAAAATGCCTTTTGTTTGTGAACAATTCTTTTTTTTTCAAAAGTGAAAGTAACATTCCACCCACTTGGCAACACTGAAGTGTAGTTAACAAAATGTACATGTATTAACTCACATGGATCTGACTTGGAGAATACGTCTGCGTCGATAATGTTCCTGAAAGAGAACAAAATACATATACCCCTGTAGTTAAGCCGTCATAAAATGGCGACAAATATGTGTACTGTGCGCCTGTTATTTTCAAGGGGCGGGCAATAACACTTGAGTGTATTTGTGAATAGCTTTATCTTACGGTTTCGAAATGAGAATAACCTAGAGTCTTCTACACACAGGTCAGAAGGGGGGGGGGGGGGAGGCGGGGGGAGGTGGAGTGTTTTATCCCAAACTAACCCTTCCTTTCCTGAAATCCCGTAACCACCACTGTATGAAAGTCATCTCATCCATGCTTACACAGCGTTCTTCATACTCAAGGGCACGCGCCTTTGTCACATACAATAGGAGTGTATCTGGGGCTATATATTGACAGTGCCTGATAAGTGACCCTGTAGTGTATATACAGTGTACTGGTATTTGAGGCCACTGGATCTTGGATAACCACAGTCTGTCTTAACTGTGAATGACCCCTACCCTGTGTCTCAAAGTCAAAAGGGGATCACGACCATTATTTTTAACAGGTGTCCTCCCACCTATATGACCCCACGACTCGAGGCGTGGTTACTTCGCTACCCATAACAAGCTCCAAACCGTAGGGATGAAGTGACGTAATCATACATATACATGTACGTACATACACATATTTACCCTATGCGAACAACTACGTGCCATGGTCATGTCTAAAATATAGGGGTACGTATGTCAACATAATCAATTTTTCTTTAAGGTCATCGTACGTGTATCAGCTGCGTCATATGCGGACAAATTCTCTATAACATAGTCACCGTTCCCTTTAAGTTAGGATATTTTAATTTAAAATACGATGTACCGGTATTTATATTAGAACAGGTAAGAGCGTGTAGCAGTAAGACCGAGAACCGTGTCAATATACTAAAATGAATCTACCGGTACATGTATATAAGAATTTTACTTAACGTGTCCGTACTAGTACATTTACAAATATCCGTAACCCTAAACGTCCCTTACCTTGCTGATACAGCTATTTCAACAACTGTTGACGGGGTGCCGCTTTTTTTCCCTGCAGTTAGAGAAGCCATGTTAACTTGCGAAATTTAGAGGGGGCTGCAAATGTAAACAAATATGAGGTCAACTTTATCGCCTGCTTGAACAGGTATTTGGGACTGTCACTGACGGAAGCGCTACCTGTACGTCGGTTCACATATTCATGTACCTGGTCATTGATTTTGGGTTTTGCTCTGTTTCAGCATTGGATTTTGATGTATAAATGGAGGCTACGTTACGGTACGTAGGTCTCGCACACAGGGATCAAAGGGTGAAAAGAAGACCCCTCCCCACCCGTCACACTGACCTCCCGTAAACCCGGATCTGGAGGGTGTATCCGGTACTATTATTTCATAGTAGAAAATTTTTGCAATTACCCCAGCTTCATTTGTGGGATTTCCATGTCACATCCGTTATCTGTGCGTCTCTTGATTACCTTAGTTAATAGCTAACCTTGTTTGAGAGAGAGAATTAGATCGAACTGCTTGCAATAAGAAAATGATTGTTTATATAAAAATGGTCGACAATCAGTTTTAATGGAATAATAAATTATTTCAATATAATAAGATTTTTACCCATCTGCATTTTTCATTTTCATTGATAATGCTTTATGTTTGAGGCCACCTTGATTTTTCATTCCTTCATGCTTCTTACAGTATCTACTGGAACTTCTGACTAATATAATTTTCTGATATATACACGTACATATATACATGGATACCTTAATGAAATAAATCAAAGGCGTTAATATAAAAAGTATTTCTTTTGTGTCGCTATTTGCTGAATTTTGGTAGAAGCTATATCAACAACGACAAATAGACTTATCTGACGAGGGAGATCGTATTATGCCTAATCAAAAAAGTGATGGACAACACAGGCCTAGTGACAGGGACCAGGGAGGCCCTCCTCCCCTCATCCTTTTCCTCCCCAGCCCCTACCTTTTTCAGCCATGTCAGTCATGAGCAAAGGAAGCAGTGGATTAAGGGGAATTTACAAGTAGCTTATTTGAATGACCCCCCGAAAAAAACTGAAAAATCAGTGTCATATGTGACGTGGTCAATCTGAAATCCAGTTAGAAATCCCAGCCATGAATGTGACTGCGGTGAAAGATTGCTTCTGTTGTCTCACCTAAAGCAATGCATGTCTTGAAGCTGTCTCAATGATAAGACTGATATAAAGCAAGTGAACAGGTCTCTTTCGGAGGAAGTATTTTGCATCAGAATCGTACCCCAGCTAAAGTTTATTGCATTACTTCTTGAAAGTATCATATATATTCGTGTGGGGGCAATTAAAGTGTACATAGTTTTTGAAACTTTCAAAAAAGTGTAATACATTGTAAATGTGAAAAGCGGACCACTATATCGTCTGTCCGATTTTATGCTACATACCCCAGCATTTTCTGAGGCGTTGAAACAAACATATACACAGTGTCTTTCAAAGATTTACATTTTTTTAAATTTTTGAGGCGGTGAATCAAACTTATCACATTTTGACACCGAAGGAGATATCATATCTGTTCATACTATTGGAATGTTGATTTTCACACGACCTGGAGGTCGTTAGTGATACGTGTGTTGATACAGAACCCTGGTTGTTTTACATTTTCTTTTACTCCAGGGGCGGTGGGAAGGCAGAATACAATTTAGTCAAGTTAACCAAATCTTGCGAGTGTGTTTAGTTAAGAAGGCGGGGGGGNCCCATTTTTGTAGAAGGAGGGGTTTGGATCATTTTGGTAAATTAATTTCCCCAAAAAATAACATTTTGATACTATCAGTAGGTGGGAAGGTGCTAATTTTATCAATCGTAGAACACCCCACCCCCATTTTTGTAGAAGGAGGGTTTTGGATCATTTTGGGCATCAATTTCCCTCAAAATTACCATTTTGATAATAATAGTAGGTGGGAATGTGCTAATTTCATCAATCGTAGAACACTCCACTCCATTTTTGTAGAAGGAGGTTTTTGGATCGTTTTGGTTAATCAATTTCCATAAAAATAACATTTTGATACTAATAGTAGGTGGGAATGTGGTAATTTGATCAGAGTATTAACGTCGTTATTCAAGTTTTTATTTACATGGACACCTTTGTTTTATAGTCTTTGTGTAGTATTTTCTGTATCATCTTTCCTATCCAAAATTAAAGTTAACTTGCCTTATCAGTTTAGTCTATTTATAGCCAACTTTGTCAATAAAATAGCGTGCGTTATTATATGATAACTGAATGGCGGTGCAGAGTATTTTGTTTTATGTTTAACGGTCTGAGTGCCTTTAATTTTACGATTCCGAATGCGAACGTGAAGTATTATAGTATATGTAGTGCCTTCATCTAAATGTTTATCTTCAGTAACATCCAAATTCTAAATTTTTGGATATGGCGTTTAACTTTCAAAGCATTAATAATGAGCATGCCGGTATCATAACCATCATGGCTTATTAGCAAAATGTATGAAGCTCTGTACATTAAAAAAAAAAAAAAAAAAAGACGGAAGAGCTTATGCTTGCATCTGGCTATTGTAATGATGGCTATGTCTTATTCAACTACGGGATGAATAAAACTGATGGCTCATTGAAACCTAGAATTGTTTTGTTTGCCCTGAGCGAGCTTCTATGTAAACTGTCAAACTGTCAAGAGTTCAAGACTGTCAACATTTGCAACAGGAGAAGGTTGAGCGTTCATAATCACCATGACAACCAAAGCATTGGTTTTATTACTGGCCACCCAGGTAATATTTACCACAGTTTTTTTCAACTATTTGTGTTTTACCAATTCGCTAGATGTAAGCACTCTTCCTATTGGTCAGGTATGGTTGCAAAGTCTTCTGGTTTGTAGAAAACGCAGGCATCCTGGTTGTGTTTATATGGTTTAATAAAAAAATCTACTCGAGGCAATTTTTGAAATTATGAATTCTACGAAAAATTAATTTTATGATAATGAAGTTTGGATAAAAGTCATCATATTTGATAAATGTGATTAAAGAACAAGTTTTGGTGCTTTTCATGTATTTAAAAGTATAAAATCAATACTGTTAAGTAAGATACATGACAGGAAACAGCCAGTTTGGCCTGAAGATATGTGCCTGCAGAAGTCAACGACGATATATGATGATAAGAATGATGGCGATGAAGAGCTGTTCTTGTGTCGATTTTGTGTCCTTGATGTTGAACATAAAATATGTCACACGTGTGACGTATAGTCAACGCTGTTACATGTGCATGTACTCCTGCCAACGGGAGAGGAGGCCATCTTTACATCAGTTTGGGACGTCTGTTTGTTAGCGGACATGTTATCCAAAAAAAAAAAAAAAAAAAAAATCTTCCAAATTTTGATCAAAATTTCAGTATTACTCAGAAGGGAAAGAACTGATCAAACCTTAATTGAATCAGGCTTTCCTCATATTTCTAAATCATTTTCTTTTTCTTGGCAGCGGTTTGCGCTTTTGAGATACTCTCTAGTTAGTTTAAGTGCGCGTCTCCGGTAAATGACATATTGAATCAAAAAGTACCATTTTTGGGCATTTAGGTCCTAGTTGCGACTCATTTTGTCAGTGCTGACGGTAATGGCAATGACCAAGACAGGATTAAATGGTTCAGGGCGATCCTGGCAAAGGTTGACACTTATTTTAACAGCAAGGGTAAGTTATCTAGTTTAATGTTTTGTACCAGTACGTTTTAGGATTCTAATGATCTACGATTTGATAAGCTACCTTTTATTGGCGCAAATTGAGCTCGGGGCTGCGGAAAATTTGTGATTCCAAAAAGTTTTTGTCAATGTTTGAAAATTAGTTTTTCTCGGTCTAAACTGTAAGCGCATGTGAGTTTTGGAATTTCAGGAATTTAAACAATTTCAAGTATCATTTATATTAACCGAAGTTGTGATCTTGTCTTCCAGATGCCAATACCCAAAGCACCGTATCTCTACCTTGTGAGTTTCTGAATGCGTATGCCCTGCCCGGCGGATCAATAGATCTCAAGAAAGGATCGGTACCCTTTCCGATTTCTATCTATTGTTTCTACAAGCAATAAAACCTTATTGTCCCGCATAATCGCTCCAGAGGAAGGCATAGCATCATCTGCATAGACATGCTTTTAGTAGTATATTGATTAGTAGAATGAAATTATTTAAATGCACTGTTTTAGCTAGATGACTGAGAGATGTTATAATTGGGTTTCTCGCTAAATTGCTTTCAGCTTAAGTGGCTTAGATCTGCCTGGGACGCCTACTAAAGCTGCTAAACGATAGTTACCCCCTATCAGCTTCAGTAGGCGCTACAGACATCTAAGCCGTTTAAGTTAACTACAATTAAGCGAGAAACCCCTTGGAGATTGTTTGACCCAAAGTTGGTACGATAGTCTCTGTGAATGGTCTCTTATTTACATTGTACAACTTCCAGTCTTGAGCGTGATGACAAATCTCTTTTTTTTGTAGGTGGACATACACTGCGAGGTTGGAAAACAACTAAACATCGATTCACCCTCGACTAAGTGCACCTATTTAGGCATTAGCCCCAGCAAAAAAAGCAAGCGCAGTGCTCGCAGTAACGAAAGGCAAAAACGAGACGGCAACAACAACCAGTTTAGCAGCACCGAGATGAGACAGTTGACTGCACGTTTTGGTTCGAAGCTGCCAAAATGCGTCGGTAGGTCTACTCTTAATTTTGCTGATCAATTTATCATCAACAACTGCAATTTAGTGTTATTAATGTTTTATTGCCACATTTACAAAAGTATCTGCACCAATTAATGCGCAGTGCAAGTAATCAAATTTGGATGCTACAGAGATTGCCAGATTGTACTGATCGCTTAAGCGACACACTTTTAGGGTCTTTAGCTGGTGTAACGAAACTGATGGTCAGTGTAACAGAAAGTTCGCCCTCCTTTTAGTTATAATGGTCAGGGTTGACCTTAGTGGGTCAAAATCTAGGGCGAGGCTTACCTGTATAAATGAATGGGAAGCGGACTCTATCATGGGGGACTCTCTGTAACGTTACACCGGATCTAAACAAAATGCGCACAAATTTGTTACCTATTAAGATTACATAACTTCTTCAATTTTGGCATTTTAACAGATATCCCAGGTTACACGGGCTGCTATGAAAACACGTTCGACTTGGACGCCGTACTGAATTATATGAACTTTGCCTACCACCCGTCCTCTGCAGCTGACTGTGTCCAGTTCTGTGGTAACCATGGGTTTACTCTTGCTGGAGTTTACCAGCACGACGAAGGCAGTGATGAAAAGGACCGGTGTAGATGTGGAACAGGTATGCTTATTTTGTAGCCTTGTTTCTGGTTATGATAATAATTATAAATCTAAAATTTGAATAGGTTGGGGTAAAGAGTAGAAAAAAAAAGATGGGTCGTCATATTAAAAAATTGCTTAATCATTGATTAAAGTACAATTACTACACAAAAGATGATTAATTTGTAGAACTGGAAATTACAACAGAAATAAGAACTGAAAATAAGGTTGATTTAGGCCCGAGATGAGAACATTTGAAATTTTAACAAAAAATATTAGTGGGAATTTTTTTTAGCAAAAACATAAGTTTTCAGGTCCATAGTCTTAATTTTAGATTACTGGGCAGAAGATAAGGACGATGATCACCTATCGATTTATGTTCTTCATTTCGCCGAGAATTTTTCGGGGTATTCTTAGCCATTTTCAGACCTTTAAATTTTTTCATTTGAATAATTTTTTAAAATGAAATTGGATTTTTCATTGTCTCTTTTTTTATGGTGGCAGACGAAAATAAAACATCCTTAGATCTCTTTCGAAACGTTTTATATTTTTACCCTTTTTACTTATTTCATTTTCCTTTACTTTCAAATAAGTGCTTACGTTAGAAGATAAATATCTGCGAGAAGGAATGATGTCACCTTGAGGGGGTTTTCTCTAAGACTGGGTTCCCATCCCCAGATCGATCTTATAGGATCGGACCATCTCCAAGGGATCTCTCGCTAAATTGCTTTCAGCTTAAGTGGCTTAGACGACTGGGACGCCTACTAAAGCTGCTTAAACGATAGTTTATTACCCTCTATCAGCGTCAGTAGGCGTGACAGACATCTAAACCGCCCAAGTTAATTGCAGTTAAGCGAGAAACCCCTCGGAGATAGTTTGATCCAAAGTTAGTACGGTATACGTAGTCTCTGGGAAGAGCCTCTTATTGTTAAGGAGAATCGAGTCTAAATACCTCTAGTTACGTTCTAGGACAGTTCCCAGGAAATGCTGAGACTTCCAAGAATTGTGACAGACTTTGTTTGAAAGACAAAAGTCAAATATGTGGAGGGAATAAAGAATTCGCAGTTTTTAAAGGTATGAACAAACAATTTACCGTTTTATGCATTTAGAAAGCTTGTTCAGAGTGCCTTATACGATTGCCTAGGCACGTAGTGTTATAACAGAGGTGTTGTGTGTTCAAAAACAAAAATACTAAAATATACTATGATACATAAATAACTATAATACATAAATGAATAAAGTGAAAAGATAAATAAAGCTGTAATACACACGGAAATATTTATTTACTTGTGCTGGTGATAATAATAAACTTTTTTTGCGCCCCATAGAGGTTGCCATTTTATATGTATAATGTTTCTGTATCTGTCTATGCTAATATTACATTTTCTCTCAGTTGGGCCTTATATGGCTGTGTATGGTCCTAAGACCACACCAACCACAGAACAGCCGACAACCAGGAGTACCACGGAGAAACTGCTTACAACCACCACCCCTGAACCCACCACAACCAGTTCAACCACCACAACCCCTGAACCCACCACAACCAGTTCAACCACCACAACCCCTGAGCCCACCACAACCACCGTCACAACCACAGCCAAGACAACCACTGAGAAACTGGTTACTCCCGATCCCTCCAATGTCACAAACACAACGCCACCTCCAAAGGGTAAGTCAGTATGGTCAACAGAAACTTCTCTGTCGTGGTGATGACATATATCTAAGTTAAGTAACTGGTGCGCGCCAATTGTCGTGTAATTACGTAATCATTGACTCAGGGTGATATAGTGTATATGAGTAATGGCCAACACTTTGAAATAAATCAGTAAGGTTTTTATGTATTTTTTTTCCATTTTGCATTTTATTCGCCTCATTTTAAAGTTTCAAAATGAACGTTAGACCTTCGTAAAGCATAACATCAATTTCCTGAAAACTTTGATGGTTCTACTTTTTGAGCAACTCTCATCTCGTAATTGAGATGAAAAGGTGGTGATTCTCACTGGTAACAATAAATGTAGAAATTAAGACCTCGAAAATGTGTTTATGGTTCTTGTTTTTCACAGATACTCAATAAAAATTTGTCTTGGCACAACACATTTGTAGTTTTTAAGAGCTAAAATGTACAGGCGGATCTTTTTAACAAAGCTATTTACCTTAGAAAAGGAGAGGGGGGGGGGGTCTTCATCATTGAACTTGTTGTTTCATTCTTGCTCATTCATAACTGAATAGAGTGACTTCCACTCTTTGTTCGAACTGATCTCTAACACAGTCCGAGTCAGTACCGTTCCAAACAAGATAATGCTCCTCTGTTTGATCTGTTACAGACGCGTGCGTTATCGGGGGTAAACACTACGCCAAGGGAGCGACCTTCAACGACGGTTGTGATAAGAACTGTATCTGCATAGATCCACCCCACGTCTTCAGGTGCATTGAGAAGTAAGTAGTTGGTTAGGAATGATGCGAACACTGGCATACCTAGAATTGTGCTAAGGGGAGGAAAAAAAGACGAACAAAATACGGTTATTTTTTCCATAATGTGTACAGAAAAAGTATGGGCTCCAAAGCTCCAAGGGGGGGTGGGGGTGGGGGCGGGGGGACAAGCTCATTCTGTCGCCCGTGCTGGACCCCCTGTTGCTTGTGATTTATTCTTGTTACAACCAATGCGCCTGTTTCTAGCGTACAGGCGAATTACATAATTATACCAGATAGCGAAATAACACCAACACTGACCGTTTATCCATCTTAAAATTGAAGTGAAAACTGAATGGCCGAAATACTGAAATTCTTGAGAACTTAAAAACCTCTTTTTACTAGAATTTCAGCACTATATCGGGTGGGAAGGTAGAGGAAACGCTTTATTGCTGTTTACTTTTAATAATTGAATGCACTTTCATATTAGAAAATAATAAACAATAAGATCTTGAAATTTTGCATCCTCTTTCCCTCTAGGTGCTACCAGTGGAATAAACAGTTCCTGCCACCAGGTTGCCGTTTTGTTACTGTGCCAAATGAGTGTTGCCCAGGCCTCGTGTGCGAGAATCCGCCCACTGTTTTGGGTTGACTTCGCAGCAACAACGCTCCCAATGGTCGTTGACCAATACAGTGTATACGTTATGTTAACGGATAAAAAAACACACACTCATGACGCACGTCATGAAAATCTGTGCAATAAAATCACTGGAATAACGACTTGCACAGAGACACGGACGAGACAAGCACGTCAATGTTCATGTATAAATTAGCTGCAAATAGAAGCAAGTGATTTTGTAATTATATTCAATGACATGGGCGAATAAATAATTGTAGAGAATGGAAAACAAATTTGAAATAAAGAAACAATGAGAGCCATTTATAGAGCTTTTGTTTTTCTTTTGTTAAATGCGTACGTTTAAGTATTGAAAGGTACAGTACATGAAGTGTCAAAACAAATCATTTCACAGTTTGGGTTGATAACTTGGCAGCTGGAATAAAGGCTCATTCCCAATGAAACTATCAGTCTACATTGATCGATCCAAGTCTGCAGGGACTCCAGCTGAATACACCCAGTTAAACAGATTAACACGCCTCCTCCTTGTGTTGAGTATAATACAGTTATTATACGAGTACGTTGTAAGCAAACTAATTGTTAAACTGATTGCATTAAGCAAGAGTCACTGCGGAGTTGGATCCATCCACGTAGACCGATAGTTTCGATGGGAATGAACCGTAAGTAATACAGGAATTAGTGCCCCCCCCCCAAAAAAAGGCTAATTTATGTTAGGATATAATAATTTTAGATTTTGCATCACTGTGAATATAAAGACAAATTGTGTTTATTTTTTAATTTCATTTTGTATTTAAAATGCCCCATGGCCCCATTGTAAGTATAAAATGTTAATTCGACCTGCCGTTAATTATATTCCTTATAAGGGAGCTTGATTGCTTGATTAAAAGGCTATGTGTCATTTTTTAGATCAAAAAGTTAAGCCCAAATGGTGATGAAATCAATTTCTATTATCAAGGAACTTATTAAAGACCATGCGTCTTGCCTTATTACTTAAAAAAATTAAGGTCAAGGGGACACTAAATCGCCTTTAAATTGGTTCATTTCTGGGCAAAAACAAAGCTCTTGTTTGTCACCAGTATCAGTGCCCGACGAATAATACTTACTTAAACTTGGGTCATGGAGAGCTAGACCTACGTGTTACATAATTTTCTCGTGTATAGCCACGTGCTTTTGGTTCTGCCGGTTTGAGCGTTCCTCTGTTTCCACCGAACCTGTATAAATCTGTCGGTGAGTACGCTGTATCAAGCCACTGCCATTGGTAACAATGCTGTCGACGCGTGTCCTCGTTTGCTGCTTTGTGGTACGTATCCATGGATTTCGTGGTTTAACATTATAAAATGAACTTTTAATAACGAACTATTGATACGAGTGTACATTTACAATGTAAGTGAGAGTAATCTTGTTGTATGATTAATAATAATTTTTGGAGTCATTTTACAAAAAGGGACCGCGAGAGTTACATCAAAGGCGCGTCATTTCGTGTTGTACATGCGTAACTGTTTTAGATTACTTTTTAATGACTGTTGATTCATTTTTATTTGGGTGAAAATTTAGTATAAAACAGCAAAAACAATAGGGCAAGTCAAAATTTTACACAGAATGCGTCATTTACTGACGTTACTGAAATATTTACTTTTACGTGGAAAATGAAAACTGTCAAAAAGGGATTCACATCACTGCCACCATTCAGCTTTGTTGAATAACATTAATATGTCAGAAACGATTTCACATACGATATCCATAAGTACAGCTTTAAGCTAGGTGTGACAGAGTCTTAAGAAAAAGGCCCACAGCTGCGCGAAGATGAGCTGCAGTGTACAAGTGCATGAACAACTCAAACTGGCGCTACCAGATAAAATTGTCTTTTTTTACAATCTTCCAAGGTCAATAATTAGCTGTTTTGGGGTGTTTTCAAAGCCGTCTATTTTTGCAAGTTCCCGGTTTTTTTTCCGTGAAAGTACTAACAATCACAGTTTATATGTAGCTGTCTACTTCTGCAAGCTCATGGAGGTCCTTGATTTTGTCTTTTAATAATAAAAATTAATATGTGGATGGATCCTCGTACTGATACATGTCCTTTTGCATTGCAGCTACATTTTTCTCACACACACGCATGGGGAAGCTACTGGAGAGATCGATACGGAGGCTCCAGTGACAAAGGTATAGTATCACCTAGTTGTGTTGATTGGTTGTTTGAGGCGCACACCTGGCAAAAGAGCCCATAACAAACAATTGTATAGTTTCGTCGAATCATCCATCGAACATGTAAGGCAATTAACGGTTTATTTGCTTATGTATACATATGGATGTTCCACCTTATGCTGAATGCGAACGTGTACTCGGGAAAGTTTAAACATATAATTGTACATCACATTTATTAAAATAAAATGGCGGAACTTCCCCGTACGTTTCAACATTTTTACTAAAAAGTTCTGCGCTTTTGGAGACAAGACAACCTCTGTATACAGATAGGAATTACCTTAACATTGCATTAAAGAACGATGTACATGTATTTCCAAAGATCAATCAAAGATCAAGAACTCTGATTCGATTCGTATAATTCTATCTTTACTATAGGTGTCTTCGTGTCCAAATTCATAAAGACTTGTGTATTAAGTAATAAGGTGGACGCGGCGTAACTTGAAAGTGTAATCGTATTTGCCATCTGCGGCTGTCTCTAAAATTCCCATAATATTCACTGTTCTATGTTTGCATTAAATTGTCACAGCGAAGAAGCATAGGCCCTACAGTTGGTTCAAAATCTGTATTTGCCAGAGACAATTCCGCGTAGTAGTAGATTATAAAGGTTCCTTGAATTATAATGGATTACTTTTGAATTGTATAAAGATCTTGTGTTTTAGACTTTTTCTATTATTCATCTAATGTGCCTTACGTTGTCTTGCTTTGTTTTGCGATGGTATAATCACAAACTGATGAGCAATTAAAAGACCATTCCCAGGCCCTATCATACTAATTATGAATCGATCTCCAAGGGGTTTCTCGCTAAATTGCAATCAACTTAAGCGGTTTAGATGTCTGTCACGCCTACTGAAGCAGCTAGGGGGTAATCAAAATCAATCAGCAGCTTCAATAGGCGTGCCAGACATCTAAGCCGCTCAAGCTGAGGGCAATTTAGCGAGAAACCCCTTAGAGATTGATCGACCCAGTCTTAAGGTGCTGTGAGAAGCGTACAGTATGAGTGTGAAGCTAATATCAAGCGTACGACATTCTCGCATGTTAGCCTGTGCCGACCCATAGCTACAAGTGAGAAGAGAAATGTAATTTTGATGTTGCCGATCTAAGCCATTTTGGTTATCAGTGCCAAAGAAAAATCTTTGAAGTGTCCTGGTCCTATTAAAAGCCATGTGAAAATTTTCTTTGAAACCATCTTACTTTAAGATGACGACGAAAATCCGTGCTCGAGAAAATACTACGGAAGCGTTCCTGATCCCACCGACTGTCGGAAGTATTTGGAGTGTCGCGGTAGAGCTGTGTCGGGGCGTTTCACGTGCAAAAATGGAGAAATCTTTCACAAATATAAAAGATGTAACACGAAAGAGTCCTCTGTCCCTTGTAAAGGTAAGAGAGCTTGTTATTCGCTTAACCAAAATTAGTAATAATGTATGTAAGATAAACGAAATGGTATACTCTTTGTATGAGTGTGCGTGCATGTGTGTGCGTCCGAGTTTGTGATATCCATTCTTGTGTGCATCTTCATTTCTTTCATTTAACGCATTATACAATGGTCTGACATTTTTTCTCGAAAGTGAAAACGACTCCTACTGTTCCAACTTCGAAACCGACAAAACCGACAACTTCACCATCAAAATTGAACACAAACTCCGAAAATACAGCCAGGTGGGGTAAGCAACCTTGACTTTTATTGACAACTTTATCAATTCTAGAGTGTTCATTGAAAGGCATATGTGTGTATTTTGAGTAGTATCATTGCAATGCATTTATTTAAATACCTAAATGCACCAATAATTTCTCGTCAGTCCAAATGAGATTAAAAAATCAGTGTTAAATTTAAGGAGAAAATGAAAGAAATTCGCTAAAATACTATTATTTATTATTTGTATTTTAAGGTTTCAGTGATAATCCGTGCAGATTTGTACCGTTTGGCACTGCTCCCGACGCGAACGACTGCCGCGTGTATTATACCTGCTTGAGTTTCATCGTGACTTCCAAACGGACGTGCACAGATGGCAAAGTCTTCCATCTATTTTGGCAATGTTACAAGGGCGATCCCACGACTCCTTGCAAAGGTAACACATTGGAGGATTGCTTTGTAAATTTGTAACGAAATAGTTTACTAGGGAATCAGCCGCTATTAGGCTAACATGCTGGTCATTAATTAACGACCCTGCTTATTTTAAGTTATTAACCATTGCAAATGTTTACTGATTTAACATTCCATTTGCTAATCCATTGAGATATAGCGATGGATAAAGGTAGGACACTTTTTTAAAAGTCAAGATTTAGAGAATGTGGTGTTGTTCTATCCTGCTGATACATCACAGTATCCATGTTCACTTGTCTATATGTTAATTTTCTTAGAAACGATAGCGGTAATAGAATGGATACATCTTTTTGAACCACCCTGTATGAATCCGAAACCAGACAGGAGGCTCACATCATCACATTTATACCTACACGTCAAAGTAAATAAGACTATGGGTAATGGCTTTCTGAAAAAAGTTTCACATTTTCCGTCGTGAGTATTTATAATTAATTCTTTGAAATGTTTTGATAATACATTAATTATTTTCAGGTAATCAAAAGGTAACAAACACGCCAGTGGCTCCTAAAACGCAATCGACAGTGCCGAAGACTAAACCGACAGTCGCTGCAACCAAACCAACCACTACCTCTAAAGCAACTACTACGACCAAAGCAACCAAAGCAACAACAAAGACTGAACCTGCAACCACAACAACCATGACAACAACCACAACAACGCCTACAACAACAACAACAACCATATCTACCACCATTACAAGAAAACCAACAACAACCACAACAACGCCTACCACAACAACAACAACTGAACCAACAACAACTACAACAACTGAACCCACAACAACCACAACTGAGCCAACAACAACCACAGCTGAGTCAACAACAACTACAACAACTGAACCAACAACAACCACAACTGAGCCAACAACAACCACAACAACTGAACCAACAACAACCACAGCTCAGCCAACAACAACCACAACAACGCCTACCACAACAACAACAACTGAGCCAACAACAACCACAACGACTGAACCCACCACAACCACAACTGAGCCAACAACAACCACAACAACTGAACCAACAACAACCACAACTGAGCCAACAACAGCCACAACAACTGAACCAACAACAACCACAACTGAGCCAACAACAGCCACAACAACTGAACCAACAACAACCACAGCTCAGCCAACAACAACCACAACAACTGAACCAACAACAACCACAACAACGCCAACAAGCACCACAACCACAGCCAAACCTACCACTACAAAAATTGTACCAAAAACCACAACCACCGTAACTGAGCCGCCAACAACTACAACCACGCCGAAAGACACCACGTCAACGAAACCACCAGGAGGTAAAGGACGCCATATTTTCTCTATATATTCACGTTATTACTATGACAAATATAAATGTCTAGATAGATGTGTATCAGATATTGTAATTGTAACGCTACTGAAGGCTTCTACTGCCATCTAGTGTTTTTGATTTTATGTGCCTGATTTGAAAACGTTGTCAACATAATAGTTAATTGATAAGTTGATACATGATTTGCGAGGGAATGGTCTAGGGCATTAAGATTTTTATATTTTCTTTATTTTTATTCCCATGCAGGGTCATGTTTCTATAATGGAAGATACTATGCTGTAGGCAAAACGTTTGAAATCGGCTGTGAAAAACGATGCTTGTGCGAAGATCAGGACACGATTACTTGTGGAGAGAGGTAGGCATTATAGTACTGTATATTGTATCTACTTGAAAATGTTTAGATAATTTGGCTCACAGGCTTCTTATGACACAGTTTACACTATAGAAAAGCAAATTAACAATATACAAATGCTGCTATCTTACGCACATCTGTTTTTTCTTGTTGTTTACGTTCGTTTTTAGTTTTATTCTAAACACGGGTCATCTATAAAAATATACATATTTATGTGATCTCATATAAATATTTATAGCACGAATAACTAACAATAGCATGAATAAATAACAACATAAGTATGGAAATGTGGCCGAGGACGGCCGCTTTTACTGAAAGGTCCCGTCTTGTAAAAGAAATGATGCGAAGTTATTATATAGCACTACATAGTATTGAGTTATAAAATTACGTAATGATATGGTATAAATAATAAATATACAAAGAAATAGTAAACATATTTTCTATTTACGGGGTTGCAAAGAAGCCAACAACATTAAGCATAAATCAGTTGATTTGTCTTACAGATGCTACGAGTGGAATCTTGACACGTTACCCGCGGGTTGCCGGTGTGAAAGGAATGCATGTCCCCCAGGAACGGAGGTCCTCCGGACCTCCGTTCCTGGGAAAACATGTCCTATGGACATGCGTTCCCTAGGATGTACTGTCCTACCCGGACCTAGATTCCCAGCTGTATTTTTACGCTTCTAGGACATATATTCCTGTCGGGCATAATTTCCTTTCACATATACACAGGAACGCAAGTCCTACATATAAAATGTCCGTACAAGTATTATAACATATTGCATGTCTATATAATTTTATTATAAACACGAAGGCGTAAGTATCGGTAATTTTCGAACGGTCGGCAGCAGCGGCTACACAGGCTGATGGGTTAGGCGTCTGGATAAAGAAGCGAGACCATGAGGATTTAGAAGGTGAGTTCGTAACTCAGGCACGGCAGAACTATATCTCTCCACAATGTTCTCCACATCATGTTAACATCCGATTCATACTTTCTTCAAATCTCTTATGTACTTTTAATGTCTTTTTTATTTTTATCTTTATTATTTTTTTTACAAAAATATATTTATAGGCTTGCTTATGGCACACCTGATATTATTTTGTCGAGGAAAAAATCGCATAGCTTTCATTTTAATATTTTTGTGCAAGAAATTAATAATTTTAAAGATTATCTATGAGTTATGATTGGACAATGTTGTAGAAAAGTCATCAAGAGAGTCTATCTGAGGCCGTGGCTACTTCTGATTGGATGAGCAGTGGAGCCTCTACTATATATAAGAAGAGCACATGCTTTCTACTTTCACCTGACAATATTAAGAATGGGGAAGACAAGGACTAGGGCAAATCCCGCTGACATTCTGAGGTACTTGCAAGAAGGAAAATATCCCCCTGGCTTGTCAGAAGCAAGAAAAAGATCTCTGAGGAGAACTGCACAGCTAAATTTCAAGGTGACTATGACTATACATATAGTATACTTGCATATTCGTTTTTTTTTTTTTCATATAACAGAGAGTTTGTAAAATTAGTTATAAATTTTGTATTTACAGATAGAGAAAAATATACTGTATTATAAAAAGGACAAAGTAGACAAGCAAGATGTCCAAGAAAGTGGTAATGAAGCTACATGTAGCACGTCGGAGTCTTCCAACCCCTGGAAGAAAGTGCTGATGACAGGAAGGGAAATTCGTCAGGTGCTTGAGGAGCTACATGCTTCTCCAATGGGTAAGTCCTTATTTCAAAGAATCACATATCTTACCTTATAGTTTATCTTCATATTTTATGGCATTTTTCTTAATTTGTTTTAAGTTTACTTATTTATATTGTAGGTGGACATCTCGGCAGAGATAAAACTTTAGATAAAATAGGCAAACGTTTTGGTGGCCAAATGTGGTTGGGGACGTTAGGACCTACATTGAGGCTTGCGAGAGATGCCAAAGAGTGAATAAGAAAGCCAACCTTGTAGCCCCAGAGCTACAACCCATCCCAGTCCAAGACGCTGTGCCCTGGCATTCAGTAAATATTTATTCCTACAACAATTTAATGTAATTCAATGCATTAAAATATAAAGTTTTATTTAGGTATATGAAATGCAGATATTGTTTACCAGGAAAATGATATTTTAACTTATTTTACAGATAGGAATAGATCTTGTAGGGCCGCTACCAACATCTAGCAGTGGCAATAAATATATATGCACGGTGACATGCTACTACAGCAAATGGGCGCAAGCAAGGGCCTTGCCATCGAAAGAGGCCACAGGAGTGGCTTCTTTCCTTCTAGATCTTTTTATGTGGTAATGATATCTTACTGTTTAAAATTAAAGTAAGCTATGAAATTTTGATCAAAAATATGGATGAAAAGGGGATATTTAAAACATTTTTAAATCAATGCTTATACGCAACGTTGTATTTAATTGTTGAATCATATAACTGATATTTTACTTGTTTTATCAGTTTTGGTTTCCCGAAGAAGCTGATAAATGACCAAGGAAGGGAATTTAATAACGCCCTTGTAGAAGAGATAACAAAGTCACTGAAAATTAGCCATCGCAGAACCAGTGCATATCACCCCCAGTGCAATGGACTAACAGGTAAAAAGTTTTGATTTCTTGATTAATATAAGTCAACTGTTCTTTAATGTGAGAAGAAAATGATGACAATAAAACATTATATTATTTCAGAAAGATTCAACCAAACGTTGGAGAAGATGCTCTTGAAACTGAAAGACGAGGCTCAGTGGGATGTGCTTCTAAAGCAAGTGGTCTTCGCCTATAACACAGCAAGGCAGAGCACCACTAAATTCTCACCTTTCTTTGCAATGTATGGCAGGTATGTAACATGGTTTGGGGATCTTAAGTAAGTCAAAATGTTTTCTTATATAACTGTTGATTCATCATGTGATCCAATCGATTAATATCAGGTCCGTAGGCAGCAATTGCAGAAGGGGGGTTCTTTTTCTGAAAATGTAGACCTTTAGCCATGAAACCTTAGTTTATCTAGATCAAATTTACCCAGAGTGTACCTTTTCCAAGCAAAAGGGGAGGTTCTTTTTAGCCTCCAGACCCCCCGACTCTCCCCCCCCCCCCCCCCCCCCCCGGCTACGGGTCTGAATATTTAGGCCTACAATGAAATGCAATTCTCACTGCAGCTGAATTTTAGCGAGATGGTGAAAAATATTATATGTTACCTCTAAATTCATTAATGTTTCTTTACCAGAGAGCCTGTGCTTCTGCAAGATGTCGACTGTACAGGGAGTGGATCAGATGAAGAACACGAAGAAGTGAACCCACAGGACGTCCAAAAATGGTAATGAGATATTAATTTATGTATTTATTCTGTATATTTTTCATTAAATGGTAAACGGCCTATGGATATAAATGCATGTACATGTCCTTCTCATTACAGACAATCCCTGTGGGCACCAAAGTGTTAAAAAAGAACATGAGAAGATCGGACCGCAAAGGGGACAAAAACAAAGATCCGTGGCTGGGTCCATACGTGGTGCGAGGACAAACAAAAAACAAAGCTTATATGTTGAGGACTGTGGAGGGTGATATCTTGAAAGGAGCAGTAAATGGGGCCAATTTGAAATTATATGTAGAATGATATGAATCGATTGAGTCAAATAAAGAAAACAAGTAATAAAATAAAATTTCGAACATAATTATGTTATTGTTGGTTCTGTATTTTCTCTTTCATTTTTTTAATTTAGGTGGGTCAGATATCGTTTTTCTCACTTTGTTTAAAAAAAAAAAGAAATTTAACCGAATAAAATCTGTTTATATGTAATTGAAAATAACACAATCTCATTCTAAACCTAATAGAAACACGAAGCAACATCAGGGGACATCAATTCCTAGTTTACTTGGGAAAACGTGTCCGACTAGGACATCGATGCCTGTCTGTAGGACGTAAATTACTAAGTAACAGTTGTCCGGAGGACTTCCAATCCCAGGAAAATATGTCCCCGGACATGCATTCCTAGGACTTAGTGTCCGCAGGACACTCATTCCTAGGAATACATGTCCTACGGACATGCATTACGGCGGACATCCATTCCCTTCACACCGGCTCATTACCACCGAGGGACTGTGTTGCAAGAGTGTCCTTTGTGAGAATGGTCCCCCTATAGGGTAGTGACCTAGTGGCGGCGTTTTAGCTACTGCCGGTGTGACGATACTGAGGGTCCCTGTAACAAAAAGCCAGCCCCCATATACTTATAATGGTTCGGGTTAGCCTGACCTAAGTGGGTCAAAATCCAGGGCGAGGCTTTCCTGCGCAAATAAATAGGAAGCAAACTCTCTAGCATGGGGGACTCTCTGTCACGTTACACCGGACTGAGGATTTTCTAGGGTAGGGTGGGTTTAAATGAAGTAAGGGGTGGGGTGATCAAAGATGAAAAAAAATTATCGCCATTAGTAGTATGGCATATTTGTATGAAAAGAAGACCCAGAAAATAAAAGGACACGTGTTCCAAGGATCCGCTAGAATATTTGTCATGAAAATACCTGGGGATTGATTTGAAAAATACAGATTACACAAAGCATCCGTAATATTGTGGTATTTATTTTTACCAGCGGATATCAAACCGTTGGATAGAAAACAGTTGCAAGAGTAAAACAATTCCTTTGGTAGGAAGAGTGACCAAATGAAATTTACACATGGAATAATTTTGTTGATATTAGATATCGCTGTTGGATTTTTTTCTTTTTCATGGCACAGGTGAAAAATAAAGCACTTCTGCCTATTACATTTTGTTTACCAGTTATGGGGCGGGGTTTACAATATACTTCGGTAGTCAAAGAAGTTTTTTAAAATTTTGTTGGAACAGACGTATTGATATAAAACAACATTATAAGTCACACTCACTGACTGGAAATGTTTGATTAAGACTAGGATTCTAAATAAAGAAAAATAATAATATCAGAAAAATAAATCCATGAAATATGTAAAAGGAAAGTTATGCACTTGTTATTAAAGACGATGTCGGTTCTCATATCAGTTTTTTCTTTATTTCAGTGCGTATCTGGACAATTTTAATTAAAACAATTTGGGGCTTCTAAACATTCTATCATTCCTAAATGCCCTTATATTTTTGATTATGCAGGAAATTCGGGGACTTATTAATCCAAAACAACATATAAAACAAAAAATCAGACATATAAAATGACTTTCTTGAGCATATGCCCTAATGAACCCCTTTAATAGTAATATAATAAGAATAATAACGATGAAGTTGCTCGGCGCACACTACAATTATTTAGTTGACAGGTATATAATTAGATAAGATATGGTTCGACAGCTAAGCAATGCAGTTTACTATGGGATTCTTGCTCTCAGAGAAAATGGTCAGAAACGAGCAGCCATTGCCAGGCAATTCAACATTGATCAGGGAACCGTTAGTAAAGTCCTAAAAAGAAATGCTACAACAGGTGCGCCTACTCCAAGACCTCGACCAGTGTGTCATCGTATCACAACAAGAAGACAGGATCGCCTTCTACTTGGACTGTGCCGTGCTGGTCATACAAAGACAACCAGTGTCCTCATAATAGAGTGGCAGAATGTCATTCAAATGCCCGTTTCAAGATCCCTCATGAACAAGCCGGTTATTTTGCACGAAGACCAGTACGGAAACCACTGTTAACAGCAGGCCGTATACAGCGACGTCTGCAATGGGCTGGGACCACGTGCGTTTGGAGCCAAACCACTGGAATCACGTCGTTTTCAGTGATGAGGCCAGATCTGGAGTTTTAAGGGTTGACGGTCGAATCTGTGTCCTCCGACGTGTACGAGAGGCATAAAACGATGATTGTGTACTGCCTAAGGTGCAAGCAGGGGGTGGTAGCGTCTCTATTTGGGGAGCATTCCATGCTGGTGCCCAGAAACAGTTGGCTTTTTCTAGAAGGCAACCTCAACCAGGATTCCTACAGAGACATTCTACAGCAAACAATGCTTCCCTTTGTAAGAGCCATCTTCAGGAACAACTTTGTGTACCAAGACGACTACGCACCCCCACACTGAGCTCGCAAAATCACCGCCTTTTTTCAAAACTAAGGGGTTCAGCAACTGCCCTGGCCTGCAGACTCCCCAGATATGAACCCAACTGAAAAGCTGTGGGCGGAAGTAACTCGCAGAATTAATAGCTATGATCACCAGCAGGCAAATCGTGATGAACTACGACAGGCAAATATCACTGCGTGGAATTATATCCCCATCCAAACTCTGAAAAACCTGTCACAGGGTATGCCGTGTAGAGTGAGGGCGCTGCAGGCGGCACTGCAGCCGGCTGATTTACTGTAATGAGTTCTTTGACTGTATAGCATATCACTTTCCGGAGGCATATTCTGTAATATCTTAGATTAAAGTTTATACTGACATCAAACTGAAAAAAAAGTAATATGCACTCAAAAATAACAATGATAAAAAATATTCCATATAAATTATGGACTCTGTATATAGCGACCCCTTTCAATTTCCAAGTCATGATCATTATTTTTACCTATTCTTTATTTTTATGATATTTTTCATTTTTTTTTCTTTTTAAGTACTTCATTATTCTAATAGAGATCAGTGACAAATCTTCGTTTCATTCATAGAAATGAATGAAAAGGGGAAACGTGACAAGATCGGCAAAGAGCTTTAAGGACTTAAGTGGTGACCTGATAGATGGTTTGAAGTGATAACCCCTTTCTCCCCCCTCCGTTCTTGATCCTGCGCTACATCGTATACACTAGTTTCCGGCTTACGATACCAGGGACCATTCCACAAAAACTTAAGCCTTGACATATTAGTCTTATCATTTAGACCAAAAATAACCACTCGTTTATATGTTGCGCCAAAGAAGTATGAGAGTTCAGTGAAAGACCCTTCTCTTGTCAAGGTCGCAATCTTTGTCCAATTTTGGGAACAGAGCCTGTCTGTCAATTTTAGTGATACCGAGCAACCTGACACATCTTTTACAGATAACTTTCTTTGCAGTAGGCAACCGAGGTGAATGCAGTTTTCCCCGTTTCTACTACGTCACTGATTTACATACATTGTAGCCCCTTTAAAATGAAGGCGGTTCTCCAAATATACTATACCTTATATAGGTTTTATGCTGCACAACCCCAAGCAGTTACATGTGCAAGTGTTCTCAAAGTTCCGCCCACCACTGCGGTTTTATCTTCAACAGCTGTGGATGTACAGTAACCTTGTCAAATGGTATACTGCAGAGTTTGGACCGTTTACACGTTGTGATTCAAATCAAAGTGATGTGCAAGTTGGTCGCTTTTCAAACTCAATTATGGTAAATAGATGCAAAATAAACAAATGAATTAATAGATTTATAAGGAATAAAGAAATGTAAGATGTAGCAATAAAACGTGCTAAACTGAGTTGCTGTAATGCAATAACGAAAGAGGGGCGTGGTTTTAAAAACCGACTAAACTGAATCGCATTTTGAAAGAAACTTTGTGTAAATGCGCCTTTCATGATAACCTATTTGTCCTGGTATATTCGAGATTATTTTTGCGCGAACAGTGTGTCTTTTGATGCACCACGGTCTTGCTGGTGCTGTTTGTAGATGGTGCCAATATATACGTCAAAATGCAGAAAACTTGGATAGTTTGTCTGGTTTTGGTGACATTTTCTCTGGTGAGTACTAACGCACGCTGTCTATGGGATCCAAAGTATAACCTTGAGCTGTTTAATTAACTTATTTAAATATATTTGCAATAAGCCCTTCTACAATTACAAACCTTATTGAAACTGTGAATGTTAAGCATTTTGTTATTTTTCGCATAACGAGAACGCTCTGGAAGATATCGATAAACAATGCATAGACGTCATATTGATATCAACTCAAGAAAATATTAATTCCTTATTAAATAAACTACTATGATTGTAAATAAAAACGCATTCTAGGGGCAAGACACAACTGGGAAAGGTCGGCAAAATGGATATGGAAGAGAGAACCAAAGTGAGTATATTATACACTATTTTCGAATTTTAAATTTGAGGTTTAGTGATTCTTTTAAGCATTCGATATTAGATGATGGACGTCTTACTTGCGTGTGCGGAAATAATTTGCTCCCATCCATTTTTTTCACCACAGGCAAAAATGCATGTAATGGGGTAATGCAAGGGAAAGCAAAAGTCCCAAACGACTGCCGGAAGTACACAATTTGTCTCCTCGGGCACTCGTTCAGGAAACAGACCTGCGACTCCAACCTGGTTTTCAACCAGAGAACAAACGAATGTGACACTATTGCTAATCTCGAGGCAGATGACCCCTGTAAGGATGCTGGCGCTAAAGCAAAAACCATGAACCCTCCGGAGCACTTTGACACTCCAAAATGCTTTTACAAGGGTATCCAGTATGAAGAGGGGGTACAGTGGGTGGACAAGTGCCAGAATTGCACCTGTATCGCAGCCCCAGCCATCATACACTGCACGGAAAGGTAGATACTATTGCCATGCTTCATAAACATTTGATTTTAGAATCCTGTTTTGCAAAAAGCAATGGGTACCAACGACGAATGTGCCTCATGGTAATTGAATTCCATGATACATTATAAATCTTGCGTTAAGTCTATCGTACTACAGCTTTATATAGCGTATTCAGACCATAATTTTAAAAATAACTCAGAATATATAGCGTCATATTGTAATTACGTTGCTTTCGTTTGTGTATGATATAAATGTTGAGTTTCCGCTTTTCGATTTTTCTTATGGAGAGAGGGGGTTCACCATACAAAATTAAGTATATATGCACTGCAATTCGTTCTAGCTGCCCTAAATTCGACAAGCTACCTGCCCGGTGCAGAGTCGTGAAAGCCCAAGACGACAATTGCTGTGGCAAACTACAGTGTGACCCACCACCAATTACCACACCCACTCCTGAGTCAACTACAGGGTCCACTTCCACTGCTACAATAACCACAACTATACCTTCCACTTCTACTATTGTTTCAATCACGACATTACCAGAACCAAAATGTACCTACAAGGGTAAACTGTACAGTGGCGGTGAAGTGTGGGAAGACGACTGTCAAATTCACACCTGTGTTGCTCCCCCGTTCTTCATACATAGCAAGCCAAGGTAAGATATGAATGACACCGTTTCTGAATCCCCAGTTAGTGGAGAGCCATTTCGCAAGGCATTTACCTGTTAACATTGTCTTATTCATTATATCAATAGATGGCGTTTTAAGATAATGTTAACACGCCATCCATTACATCAATGAGTGTCATATTACAGAGTTGTCTATGCTGGTCCATTTTGCGTCTTGCGTGATTTTCAGAGCAAAAGGTTAATTGATAGTATAAAGCACTTTGTCGACAGGGTACTCAATAGTTTATACAACGTAGTTTTGCAAGCAGTGACTTCCAGGTAAAATTCAGCATATTGGGACTCAGCATAATATAGTAATAATAATAATAATAATAATAATAATAATGCACGTTGAAGCACCATTTAAGCAAGAAAGAAGGACAGTTAGTGAAATCCACGTTATTCAAATGCCACGAGGTGCCCTCTTTTTCAATGAATGGTTTTTTATTACAGGTGCCACCCACTGACATCTACTGGTGTCTTCAATAACTGTAGGATTGTAGAAGACCCAGCAAATCCGTGCTGTCAAAAAACAATTTGCGACCAAGCTACTGCATCGCCACAGATTTTGAAGCTGACCACAACTACGCCTCAAATGAGTACACGTGCAGAGACAAAGCCAACCACTGCAAAATCAGGTTCTACAAGCACAGTGCGACCTACTCCAAAAATTATCGCCTCTGCAACCCCAGGCATGAAGACCTCTACTACTGAATTAACAACCACTGTCACTAAATCAACTGCTGCACCAACCACCAGCAACACAGAGCCCACAACAACTACTATCAAAGTGTCGGCCACTGAACCCAAAACCACCCCCAAATCCACCACCCTAAAACCTAAAACCGCCAGACCTGAACCTACCACTTCGACCATCGCCTCAACCACTGCATTGCCTGAACCAAAATGTACCTACAAGGGTAAACTGTACAGTGGCGGTGAAGTGTGGGAAGACGACTGTCAGATTCACACGTGTGTTTCTCCTCCGTTCCTCATACATAGTGCACCAAGGTAAGATATCCCCGACTTATACTTGGAAACGATTCGAAAACTTGTAACTGTATGCTTTTTAACAAATGCTTTTTTATACACATTATAATTTGAACTCCTATGCAATGTTTTTAAAATTGTTTCATAAAATGTCGATTTTAATCAGTTAAACCATCTACATTTTCAAAGATTTATTTCACATGTTGAGTGTTTTTAAACCATTTGCTGTGAAGCCCAAAACACACTTATGAAAGATGAAACGAAATATTGCTGAGTTGAATGTACGATTCCAGATGCCCACAGCCTGCGATAAATGGAGACAATAATAAGTGTAGGATCATACAGGACCCAGACGACCCCTGCTGTCAAAAAGTAATTTGTAACCAAACTACTGCATCGCCGGAGATTTTGAAACAAACCCCTACAACCAGTACAACTGAACCCACATCCACTACTATCAAAATCCCTACCACATCCACAAAATCTAAAAACACTGCCACAAAACCCACAACTACTGTTCAAAACCCCACAAGCACGACCACTAAACCTACAACCACTACCACTGAACCTACCACTTCTACCATTGCCTCAACCACGGCATTACCTGAACCAAAATGTACCTACAAGGGTAAACTGTACAGTGGCGGTGAAGTGTGGGAAGACGACTGTCAGATTCACACCTGTGTTGCTCCTCCGTTCTTCATACATAGCACGCCAAGGTAAGAAATCATTGAGTTGTGCTTTATTGAATTTTCTTCAAGCTTTCAAATCAGCAAATGTTCAGTTGTTATAATTATGATTTTACTTTTTCAAAGCCTTTTTGCCCTGCAAAAAATTTAATATGCCTTTGTTTAGAACAAATGCTGATTTTTACTTGTATCATTACTACTGATACAATGTGTAGAAAATGATTCTAAAAATTAAGACTTGTTTTTTTTAGCTGAAAATTTAAAGTCTTTAAATAGTAACTTGTATGAGTTTTATATAAAACATGTAAAGCATTAAAAATATTTTGGCATGAAGCCAAAAAACACTTTTAAAAGACGGAATATAATAAGTCAAATTAAAATTCCAGATGCCCCCAGCCGGCGATAAATGGAGGCAATAATAAGTGTAGAATCATACAGGACCCAGACGACCCCTGCTGTCAAAAAGTAATATGCAACGAAAATACAACCACAACTTCCAAACCCACAACCACTGAACCAACAACCACTACTCTAACAATTACAACCACTAAAAAGGAATCCAAGACAACTGCCTCAAATCTCACAACTGCGACCACAAAAACCACAAATATCACAACTGAACTTACAACAACTACCACTGAACCTACCACTTCTACCATTGCCTCAACCACGGCATTACCTGAACCAAAATGTACCTACAAGGGTAAACTGTACAGTGGCGGTGAAGTGTGGGAAGACGACTGTCAGATTCACACCTGTGCTGCTCCTCCGTTCTTCATACATAGCACGCCGAGGTAAGATACCCCTTACTTATACTTGGAAACGAGTCCAATCCAGTTAACTGTATGCTTTTATGCTTTTTAACAATTGCTTTTTTATACATATTATAATTTGAACTCCTACACAATGTATTTTAGATTGTTTCATAAAATGTAGATTTTAATGAGTTGATTTAAAGCAACTACATTTTCAAAGATTCACTTAACATGTATAGTGTTTTTAAACCATTTGCTGTGAAGCCCAAAACACACTTATGAAAGATGAAACAAAATATTGCTAATTTTAACGTACTATTCCAGATGCCCACAGCCTGCGATAAATGGAGGCAATAATAAGTGTAGGATCATACAGGACCCAGACGACCCCTGCTGTCAAAAAGTAATTTGTAACCAAACTACTTCATCGCCGGAGATTTTGAAACAAACCCCTACAACCAGTACAACTGAACCCACATCCACTACAATCAAAATCCCTACCACATCCACAAAATCCATAACCACTGCAACAAAACCCACAACCACTGTTCAAATACCTACAAGCACGACCACAAAACCTACAAACACCACCACTAAACTTACAACCACTGCCATGAAAACTACCACTTCTACCATTGCCTCAACCACGGCATTACCAGAACCAAAATGTACCTACAAGGGTAAACTGTACATTGGAGGTGAAGTGTGGGAAGACGACTGTCAGATTCACACGTGTGTTGCCCCTCTGTTCCTCATACATAGCAAGCCAAGGTAAGATACTTCTGGATTGCCCTTGAAAGCAGTACCAAATTTTCTATTCTGATACTTTTTATGTACATTGCTTAAACTTCCAAACTTTAATATCGATATTATGGACTCGGTGTCAAAAGTGCTGAGAAGCTCTTTAAATCTTTACCTTGAGGATCATTAATTACCTAATTTTTTGAGTTCATATCCAAAACTATGTATCAAACCTGCTGCTATCAGATAACGCATAGTTCTAAAAATTGTAATAATTTGCATTATGAAGGAATTCATAATGCAGGTATAGCGCAGACAAATCAGCAAATTGTAATAAGAACATAAGTGTTTATATCAAATAAGCAAAGTATGGCAGTTTAATTGGAAATCTTGTGTGCCGAGGCCACAAGCCAAATGCAACACTCAGGGATTGCACCACTGTAATACAAGCGCATAAAATTACCTTACCAACTTAACACTGAAAAATGCATTGGGCAAGACAAAAATACATATGCAACCCTTATTGGCTGTTGCATAAACCAGAGCATTGCTTGGCCTTACTTTAATCTTATATTTCAGATGCCTTCCACTGACACCTGGTGGTGTTTTTAATAATTGCAAGATTGTGGAAGACCCAGAAGATCCTTGCTGTCAAAAAACAATATGTGACCCAGCCACTGCCCCACCAGAGATTTTGAAACAGACCACTCCTACTACAACAAAGACAACCAAAGTGGCCATCACAAAAACAACTTCTAAACCATCAACGACTACAACTGAAGCTACCGCTACAACAATCATCAAACCTACAATGCCTACAACTGAACCTACAACTACACCTACCACCAAACCTACAACTACTACAATTGAACCTACAACTACAACAACTACCAAAGCTACAACGACTACAACTGAACCTTCAACTACTACAACAACTAAAGCTACCACTACAACTGAACCTACAACTCCAACAACTACCAAAGCTACAACAACTACAACTGAACCTACAACTACAACAACAACCAAAGCTACCACTACAGCTGAGCCTACAACCACAGTTGAGCCCACGACTACAACTACTTCCAAACCCCAAACCACTACCACTGAACCTACCACTTCTACCATTGCCTCAACCACCACATTACCTGAACCAAAATGTACCTACAAGGGTAAACTGTACAGTGGCGGTGAAGTGTGGGAAGACGACTGTCAAATTCACACCTGTGTTGCTCCTCCGTTCTTCATACATAGCAAGCCAAGGTAAGATTTATCTGGCTCGCCCTTGAAGACAGTAACAATGTTCTAGCCTGGTGCTTTTTTTGTATATATTGTTGAATCTGACAAATTTTCATAATTTTCTTAATGAGACTCTTAAAAGCATTATCTTTTATAATAATTGATTTATCATTTTATGATCATGCATTTAACTATGCATCTAACCTGTTGCCGTCACAAATCATACAATTTTTAATTATGATCATTTTACTATAATGTAAATCAGTATGTTGATATAGCACAGACAAATAAGAAATTCGTTAAAAAGAACAAAAAATGAATAAACCAAGTTTATCTTGATACCCAATAGTTGTTAAATAAACTTTTATGTCATTGGCAAATTATAACAGTTTCATCGGAATCAATATTTTGGATGCCGTAGTCCCAAGCCAAATGCAGCACTTCTGGAATGCATCAATGTAATATAAACGCATAAAATTACCTTACCAACTTATAACATTGAAAAATGCATTTGGCAAGACTGAAATTCATATGCGCCATCTAATGGGTGTTGCATAAACCACACCATTTCTTGCCTGACTTTAGTATTATATTTCAGATGCCTCCCGCTGACATCTGGTAGTGTTTTTAATAATTGCAAGATTGTGGAAGACCCAGAAGATCCTTGCTGTCAAAAAACAATATGTGACCCAGCCACTGCCCCACCAGAGATTTTGAAACAGACCACTCCTACTACAACAAAGACAACCAAAGTGGCCATCACAAAAACAACTTCTAAGCCTTCAACTACAACCGCTACAACAACCACCAAAACTACAACGACTACAACTGAACCTACAACTACAACAACCACCAAACCTACAACGACTACAACTGAACCTACAACCACAACAACCACCAAACCTACAACGACTACAACTGAACCTACAACTACAACAACCACCAAACCTACAACGACTACAACTGAACCTACAACTACAACAACCACCAAAGCTACCACTACAACTGAACCTACAACTCCAACAACTACCAAAGCTACAACGACTACAACTGAACCTACAACTCCAACAACAACAAAAGCTACCACTACAAGTGAACCTACAACTACAACAGCCACCAAAGCTACAACGACTACAACTGAACCTACAACTACAACAACTACCAAAGCTACAACAACTACAACTAAACCTACAACTACAACAACAACCAAAGCTACCACTACAACTGAGCCTACAACTACAATTGAGTCCACGACTACAACTACTTCCAAACCCCAAACCACTACCACTGAACCTACCACTTCTACCATTGCCTCAACCACCACATTACCTGAACCAAAATGTACCTACAAGGGTAAACTGTACAGTGGCGGTGAAGTGTGGGAAGACAACTGTCAAATTCACACCTGTGTTGCTCCTCCGTTCTTCATACATAGCAAGCCAAGGTAAGTTCCATCTTGCTCGCCCTTTTATGATAATTGATTTATCATTTTATGGTCATGCATTTAACTATGCATCTAACCTGTTGCTGTCAGAAATCAGTCATACTATAATGCAAATCAGTATGCAGATACAGCACAGACAAATCAGTAGTCGTTAAAAAAAGAACAAACAATGAATTGTGATATTATTATTATTATTACCAAACTTGCAATCCGAGGGTATACAATCATTGCATCATAGTTGGATAAAACCATTAGTAAGTAAGAATAAAGGAATATTAAAAGACATATGTTAGCAAATTTAAAACAAAATATCTAAAATGCAAGGTTAAAAAAAAAGAAAAGAAAAGAAATATAACCATGTTTAGTTTGATACCCAATAGTTGTTAAATAAACTTTTATGTCATTTGGGGAAATTATAACAGTTTCATCGGAATCAATATTTTGGATGCCGTAGTCCCAAGCCAAATGCAACACTTCTGGAATGCACCAATGGTATATAAACGAATAAAATTACCTTACCAACTTTTAAGTTTAACTTGTTAAAACATTGAAAATGCAATGGGCTAGACTGAAGTTCATATGCGACATCTAATGGGTGTTGCATAAACCAGACAATTTCTTGGCCTGACTTTAGTCTTATATTTCAGATGCCTCCCACTGACATCTGGTAGTGTTTTTAATAATTGCAAGATTGTGGAAGACCCAGATGATCCTTGCTGTCAGAAAACAATATGTGACCCAGCCACTGCCCCACCAGAGATTTTGAAACAGACCACTCCTACTACAACAAAGACAACCAAAATGGCCATCACAAAAACAACTTCTAAGCCTTCAACTACAACCGCTACAACTACCAGCAAACCTTCAACTACTACAACCGAAGCAACATCTACAACAACAACCAAACCTACAATGCCTACATCTGACTCTACAACTACAACAACCACCAAAACTACAACGACTACAACTGAACCTACAACTACAACTACCACCAAACCTACAACGACTACAACTCAACCTACAACTACCACAACTACCGAAGCTACAATGACTACAACTGAACCTACAACTACAACAACAACCAAAGCTACCACTACAACTGAACCTACAACTACAACAACTACCAAAGCTACAACGACTACAACTGAACCTACAACTACAAAAACAACCAAAGCTACCACTACAACTGATCCTACAACTACAACAGCCACCAAAGCTACAACGACTACAACTGAACCTACAACTACAACAACAATCAAAGTTACAACGACTACAACTGAACCTACAACTACAACAACAATCAAAGTTACAACAACTACAACTGAACCTACAACTACAACAACAACCAAAGCTACCACTACAACTGAGCCTACAACCACAATTGAGTCCACGACTACAACTACTTCCAAACCCCAAACCACTACCACTGAACCTACCACTTCTACCATTGCCTCAACCACCACATTACCTGAACCAAAATGTACCTACAAGGGTAAACTGTACAGTGGCGGTGAAGTGTGGGAAGACGACTGTCAAATTCACACCTGTATTGCTCCTCCGTTCTTCATACATAGCAAGCCAAGGTAAGTTCCATCTTGCTCGCCCTTTTATGATAATTGATTTATCATTTTATGGTCATGCATTTAACTATGCATCTAACCTGTTGCTGTCAGAAATCAGTCATACTATAATGCAAATCAGTATGCAGATACAGCACAGACAAATCAGTAGTCGTTAAAAAAGAACAAACAATGAATTGTGATATTATTATTATTATTACCAAACTTGCAATCCGAGGGTTGGATAATTACAATCATTGCATCATAGTTGGATAAAACCATTAGTAAGTAAGAATAAAGGAATATTAAAAGACATATGTTAGCAAATTTAAAACAAAATATCTAAAATGCAAGGTTAAAAAAAAGAAATAAAAGAAATATAACCATGTTTAGTTTGATACCCAATAGTTGTTAAATACATTTTTATGTTATTTGGGGAAATTATAACAGTTTCATCGGAATCAATATTTTGGATGCCGTAGTCCCAAGCCAAATGCAACACTTCTGGAATGCACCAATGGTATATAAACGAATAAAATTACCTTACCAACTTAACATTGAAAATGCCATGGGCTAGACTGAAGTTCATATGCGACATCTAATGGGTGTTGCATGAACCAGACAATTTCTTGGCCTGACTTTAGTCTTATATTTCAGATGCCTCCCACTGACATCTGGTAGTGTTTTTAATAATTGCAAGATTGTGGAAGACCCAGACGATCCTTGCTGTCAAAAAACAATATGTGACCCAGCCACTGCCCCACCAGAGATTTTAAAACAGACCACTCCTACTACAACAAAGACAACCAAAGTGGCCATCACAAAAACAACTTCTAAACCTTCAACTGCAACCACTACAACTACCAGCAAACCTTCAACGACTACAACCGAAGCAACCACTACAACAACAACCAAACCTACAACGACTACAACTGAACCTACAACTACCACAACTACCAAAGCTACAATTAATAAGACTGAACCTACAACTACAACAACTACCAAAGCTACAACGCCTACAACTGAACCCACAACTACAACTACCACCAAACCTACAACTACTACAACCGATCCTATAACGACAAAAACTACCAAACCTACAATGACTACAACTGAACCTACAACTACAACAACAACCAAAGATACCACTACAACTGAACCTACAACTACAACAACTACCAAAGCTACAACAACTACAACTGAACCTACAACTACAACAACAACCAAAGCTACCACTACAACTGAACCTACAACCACAGTTGAGCCCACGATTACAACTACTTCCAAACCCCAAACCACTACCACTGAACCTACCACTTCTTCCATTGCCTCAACCACCACATTACCTGAACCAAAATGTACCTACAAGGGTAAGCTGTACAGTGGCGGTGAAGTGTGGGAAGACGACTGTCAAATTCACACCTGTGTTGCTCCTCCGTTCTTCATACATAGCAAGCCAAGGTAAGATTTATCTGGCTCGCCCTTGAAGACATTAACAATTTTCTAGCCTGGTGTTTTTTTGTATATATTGTTGAATCTGACAAATTTTCATAATTTTCTTAATGAGACTCTTTAAAACATCATCTATTATAGTAATTGATTTATCATTTTATGATCATGCATTTAACTATGCATCTAACCTGTTGCTGTCACAAATCATACAATTTTTCATTGTGATCATTTTACTATAATGTAAATCAGTATGTTGATATAGCACAGACAAATCAGAAAGTCGTTAAAAAGAACAAACAATGAATAAAACATGTTTAGCTTGATACCCAATAGTTGTTAAATAAACTTTTATGTCATTGGGCAAATTATAAGAGTTTCATCGGAATCAATACTTTGGATGCCGTAGTCCCAAGCCAAATGAAGCACTTCTGGAATGCATCAATGTAATATAAACGCATAAAATTACCTTACCAACTTAACATTGAAAATGCAATGGGCTAGACTGAAGTTCATATGCGACATCTAATGGGTGTTGCATAAACCAGAGCATTTCTTGACCTGACTTTAGTCTTATATTTCAGATGCCTCCCGCTGACATCTGGTAGTGTTTTTAATAATTGCAAGATTGTGGAAGACCCAGAAGATCCTTGCTGTCAAAAAACAATATGTGACCCAGCCACTGCCCCACCAGAGATTTTGAAACAGACCACTCCTACTACAACAAAGACAACCAAAGTGGCCATCACAGAAACAACTTCTAAACCTTCAACTGCAACCACAGCAAGCACAAAACCTACACCGACTACAACTGAACGTACCACACCCACCACCAAACCTTCAACTTCCTCCCCTGAATCTACCACTGCAACAGTCATCAAAACTACGACTACAACTGAAACTGCGATTACAACTACCCCCAAACCTACACCGACTACAAGTAAACCTACAACTACAACATCAACCACAATTGAGCCTACGACTACAACTACTTTTAAACCTACAACTTCTACCAAACCTACAACGACTGCCACAAACCCTACAACCACCTCCAAACCCCCAACCACTACCACTGAACCTACCACTTCTGCCACTGCATTACCTGAACCAAAATGTACCTACAAGGGTAAACTGTACAGTGGCGGTGAAGTGTGGGAAGACGACTGTCAGATTCACACCTGTGTTGCTCCTCCGTTCTTTATACATAGCACGCCAAGGTAAGACACATCTGGTTTGCCTTGAAGACAGTAAATGATGTTCTATACTGATGCTATTTAGTATATATTGTTTAAGCTGAGAGATGTTCATAATGATACTATAAGGACTTGATGTGACTTTCTTTAAAGTATATTCTTTTATAATAATTGATTGATCATTTTATGACCATGTACAAAACTATGCATCAAACTTGTTGCTGTCACAAATCATGCAATTTTTAATTCTAATCATTTCTACTATGGTGCATATCTGTATGCAGATATAGCACAGACAAATCAGAAAATCGCAGAAAAGAACAAGCAATTAACATAACCAATTAATCTTTGATAACCAATACTTGTTAAATAACCTTTTATGTCATTTGAGGAGATCATAACAATTTAATGGGAATCAACATTTGGTATGCCGTGGTCCTAAGGCAAACGAAACACTTCAGAAATGCACCAATGTAATATATACGCATAAAATTACCTTATCAACTGAACACTGATAAAAATGTATTCGGCAAAACAGAAATACATATGCAACCTCTAGTGGGTGTTACATAAACCCGAGAATTGCTTGCCCTGATTGTAATCTTATATTTCAGATGCCTTCCGCTGACATCAAGTAGTGTTTTTAATAATTGCAAGATTGTGGAAGACCCAGAAGATCCTTGCTGCCAAAAAACAATATGTGACCCAGCCACTGCTCCACCAGAGATTTTGAAACCAACCACTCCTACTGCAACAAAGACAACCAAAGTGGTCATCACAGAAACAACTTCTAAGCCTTCAACTACAACCACTACAATAACCACCAAACCTACACCGACCACAACGGAACCAACAACAAGTACAACTGAGCCTACAACTACAACTACTCCAAAGCCTAAGCCAACTACAACTGGACCTACAATTACAACAACCAATAAACATACAATGACTACAACTGAACCTACCACTACAACAACCACCCAGCCTACACCAACTACAACTGAACCTACCACTACAACAACCACCAAGCCTACCCCAACTACAACTGAATCTACCAT